GGACCGGCGGCGCGGGAGCGGCTGCCGTTGCGTGAGTGTTAGCGGGGAGCAGGTGTTGGAGTATTTTAGCGTGGGGGTGTGTTTGCGCTGACAGTAATCTCTGGAGGAGTCGGTGTGTAAGAGCTTTTGGCAGAGGCTGCCGTAGCGACACTGAAGCGCAGGAGCGGTGTGCCCGCGCCTGCACCCTCAGCATCGCTGCCGCGGGGACCGCGGGGCATTGCGGCGTACCCCGTGGCGGTGAGAGGAGAGGCGCTGCGTGGCACTCCCGCTAATGAGGGCTGCCTCTCCTCGCCCGCTTCGGTCGTGCTGTAGGCATGAGTTTTAATATAGAACTGTCTCTGTTTTTCTTGAGTCTTTGCACGTCGTTATGGTGTGAGTGCTTTCTGTGTGCTGCTTGAGAGCCACTTCGCGCTCCGGGGTGCGTCGTTCTGGTTCTCATTTCACAATCGCTGGTGCCGTTAAGTAATGAGTGCGGGTGTTTGAATTGCGTACCGAAATTGCAGCATTGCTTTGAGTATGTGTTCTTATCCCCTTCTATAACATGATGATAATATCTTCTGTTACACTTTTGAGATCTCCTTTTTTTACGTGTAATGATACTTCAGCTGATAGTCTGTTATATTTTTTTTTTGTAGAGAATTTCATCGTTTTGAAAGTGTATGATCTTATCAACCCTGTGTCCTGCCAAAATCTTGCAGTTAGTGAAGTACAGAAAGAAATGTATAATCATTTGCCTTATTGCTGGGATGCTTCCAGTTCAGATAGTTAAATAAATTGGTTCAACAGTGAAGCCTCCCGCCCCGACATAATCTTCCAGATTCTCTCCAGATCACTTTTGACTGGCAGAACAGGAGTTTGGATTTGGGTGGTGGGATTTTTTTCTGTCAGTGAAGTAAGTGGCAAAATCTCTATGTCTCCCACTTCATCTCTGAGTTCTTCTTTAGATACGTCATTGCAGGCACATACTCAGTTATTAAAATGTGACATATGGTTTTATGTTTTTAAGAGAAGAAAACATTTGCTGCAATCAGGAGCTATTTAGACGCTCCCAGTGATAGTGTGCTATGCCTTGTGTAGGCAAGCAGTGGAAGTAGGAAGTGACTGACATATTTTTTTTCTCCTGCAGGTTTGCAGGAAGCTTATGCTAATAAATAAAATAACAAGAGAAAAATGACATTAAGGAAAGGTATGTGTATATGTGTGTGTCTAATTTTTTAAAGATCTCTTTTGTACTTTTCTGAGTTTCTCAGTCGTTTTCTGGTTATATTGATAAACGTCTTTCTTTTAAATTTTCAGTGAACATTTCCATCCTTATAGTGGCTGTTGTAATATTTTTGCTAGTTCTTCATCATAACTTCCTAGGCCTCAGTGACTTTTTGAAGCGGGAATTGTCAGGTATGTTGGATTTTAATATTATTTTTTAAGATTGGTGGGAAAGCACATGCTCTGGCCAGACAGAAACCACCATGATGCTAGAATAATGTGTATGAGAGTGATCAATCATTAGCATAACCGGATATAATTTTTATACTCTTTTATGAGTACATCTTTTCCTTTTCTCATACCCAAGAAACTTCAGCTTGGTGGGCTTCTCTGTTTTTGCTGTCCTGTGACTTTTCTCTGACAGGAAGCCAGGTGAGATAGCAGTAAGGGTTCCTTTTGGCTTTAAAAGTCAATAAGATATGATTCAATTTGCTTAGCAAAGCTTTTTCATTTTTGGGAGTCCACTTTTAAGAACTGCTTATGGTCCCACAGAGCCTCTCCATGTCCCTATTAATTGCCAAGTCCCAGTTTGCCGTTCCTGGGACCAGTTGCTCCTGGGTAGCAGTTGTACATGTGCTGCCCAGCAGCAGTTGAATTAGGAGCCTGACAGGCCTTAACCAGGAATCAGCTGAAATCAAAGCTGTTGAGCTGTGTCGTCAGAAAAAGGCATGCAGAAGCAGAAGCCCAGCTTTGTGAACAGCACAATATTGCCCACAAACTGCCAAGTCCCTGTTTGCTATGTTGCTCAAATTACCTAAAATTATCTAATATGTGATAGTCTAGATCATCTGAGAAGTACCAGTGTTGTTATAAAAAGTGTGGGTAGTGGGGAATTTGCCAGCTTTTACAGGTGATGTGGTCTAGTCATAAATTTCAACGCTGATCTTCCCATTTTACTGCACACTATGACTATAAATTCTTGTTGTTTCAGCTTAGGTAGTGTAGTGTGATCAGTGATGCCTGGAATAAACACGGGCTGTACTTAATGTCTTGATTTTTGGTGGGAAAATATTTGCAACAGCAACAGTGACTTTAATTTAGAATTTCTTTTTTCTTCATTGGTTCCTACCTACGAGGAAAAGAAAGTAGAAAAGAGAGAAGGGTGATGTGGAGAAGACTAGAAGGTGGTTAGGATAAATGGGAGAGGGAAGTCAGTGAGATTATAGACATGGCAGAGGGGACCAAAGGTAAGCGTAGCCTACTGTAGTTTAAACCTCACTTTAGTGCCTTGTGCTGCGTGTGAATACGTACAGTTAAATGTATGTAGTTTATTTGCAAGTGTGATATTTTCCTATTCATTAACATCGTGGATTCTCAAGGGTGGGTGCTATATTTTCCGTGTTTGATACTGGCATGCTGTAATCCACGCCAACTGAGACATCCAAGTGTTTGCATAGTAGAAACAATTGAAGACGTTGGGAATTTTAGTGTGGTAATAATGTCTGTTTTGTTTGCATAAAACAAGTATGTGATGCCATTTGTTCTCCACAGATTCAAATCCATTAGGACTTCAGCCTATTGATTTCATACCTGCAGTTCCCCAGAGACTGGCAGATGAAAGGAATGATAAGGAGATTTCTGTGGTCATTGCAGCATCAGATGAGAGGCTTGGGGGTGCAATTGCAGCAATGAACAGTATTTACCATAACACCAGATCCAACGTGGTTTTCCATATTGTTACTTTGAATGATACAGTGGATCACTTGAGGTAATGGTCTTGTCATTAGATTCCCACAATACTGTAAAATTTGAGTATCTCTGAGAAGAGGAAGAGGTGACTTTCCCTGGAATTGCACTCCTCAAACTTGTTTGCAGTTCCATCTGCTGCTGCTTATAGCAGCTTCATGACAAGGCTGCTGTGGGGAGTACTGCAGTCATTCCTTCCAGTAATGTTTCAGGGATGGAAAAGAGCCATCTTTTCCAGTGCGGTTATATCCAACCAGTGGGGTTGTAATCTTTTGGTGGAGGGGTTGTAAAAGGTACTTCCTACATTTCATCTAAGCAGATCAAATGCTGGCGATTCAGTTTCTCCATTTTTGTAGATTGTTCTCTGATCCTTTTACTTTTACCCACATGCATTCACACTGATATTTTTGAAGGACCTGTGATAACAGGACCGTATATTTCTAATAAACTAAGAAGCGGCTTCCTACCTTTGATGTGTCCCAGCTGTGCAGGATGCCGATAGTGGGCATACCTCTGCAGTCATACAGGACACCACCACCATCAGCCGTAGGTTACATTCTACGTGTGTGTCTGTTGGATAGGGAAGCGAGTGGCCAGATCAAGATCTGTGTCACTGTCAATTGTATCTCTTGCTTTTCATTTGATTTTTGTTTCATTTAACAAGATCTGTTCCTTTCTTCTGTTTGCAGGCTGTGGCTGAGTAACACTGCTCTGAAAAATTTGAGATACCGAATTTTGGATTTTGACCCTCGTGTCTTAGAAGGGAAAGTACTAATGGATCCTCAAAAGCCAGATACCTTAAAACCAGTAAGGATGATGTTGTTAGTAACAATATATTTTGATACTGGCTTTTGAACATAACTAGAGATCAAAATCAAATCTGTTAGCATAGAAGCAATCTTTTATAATCAAATTCCTAAATTTTAGTAAGAATAAATTTCCAGATAGTGAGAGGTGGATTTGAGTATCTATATATGCATGCCTAGTGTCATGTTTTGCTGCTAGCTACAGTGAAACACAGCAGCTTGCATGTCAAGTGTGCTAACACCTCAGAGATACTATAGATATATGTGGAGAAATAAATTCTAATACAGACCAGTTATAAATGTAGTTTATCAATGCACAAATTCATAGGAAACCAGGAACTGATGGAACATGTTTATTTTAAATAACTTATGGAATACTGCTGCCTATTTTGCTTCCTCGATAGAAGTTGTCTTGGATATAAGTGCCAGGACTATCAGTCAATTTCACATTTATTTGGACAGTTTTTCATTTAATTCTTCACTTCTCTTGCTTTCTTGTTTTCACAGTTAACCTTTGCAAGATTCTACTTGCCCAATTTGGTACCTCATGCAGAGAAGGCCATCTATGTGGATGATGATATAATAGTGCAAGGTACGGGACCTTTTCTTAACTTTTTGCCACTGGCCTTATGCTGAGGTCAGTATGCCGTCTCTTACAGTAACCAAACACTTCAACTTCAAGGAAAAGTGTAAAAACTTTGTAAATATGAATGAGTTGCATTAAACTGAGTGGTTTTATCTGCTCTAGCAGTGGACTGAACAAAAAGTCACCCAGCGCTTAAACAGGATTGCTTTTAATTTTTCTGTGCTTATTTCCATTTTTCAGATGATATTCTTGAACTTTACAACACTCCATTGAAACCTGGACATGCAGCTGCATTTTCAGATGATTGTGACTCAACCACTAATAAAGTTGCTGTCCGTGGAGCTGGCAATCAGGTTAGTTTTCTTCTGATTCAGTAGTAACAATACTATAGATCCCAGGCTTTGGAAGCAGGCACTTGGTTTTAACGTTCTTGCAGGTTGACTTCCAAAGGCAGTGAACCTAAAAGTGTGACTGTCCCTACCCAAATCAATTTATCGTGATGTTTGTGTTACACATGACACCTGCAGTTTCTGTTTAGGCACAGTAAAAGCACTTTGAATTTTTGCTGTGCTTTCCCATGAGAGAAATTCCCAGTGTGGTACAGCAGGGGGTCTTAGAACATCAGAGGGAGAATTTTTCATTTGTGAGTGTATAAAAAGTACCTTTTCTGGGAGTGGTACCATATTAATAATATAGTATTATTATGACCATGCAGCATTCCTTAAAATATGTAGTTTATATAATCATATTTTTAAAATGTTAAACTTCTTAAGCTTTCTTGCTCTTGTGTTAAAGGAAGGGGTGTTTGCTTTAAAAACTTCAAGTTATGCTTTTCTGTTGGGAGTTGAGCAAAATTTTTCTTTAAATAGTAATTTGACCATATTTTAAGCTAATTTCTACTCTCTTTTTTTTTTTCCAGTATAATTACATTGGGTATCTAGATTACAAAAAAGAAACTATCCGAAAGCTTGCCATGAAAGCCAACACCTGCTCTTTCAATCCAGGAGTTTTTGTTGCCAATTTGACAGAATGGAAATTGCAGAACATCACTAAGCAATTGGAGAAGTGGATGGCACTTAATGTAGCGTAAGTATCTCCAAGCTGGGAGCGACAGCAGAACAGGGATTGGGTTATGGTGATGGCATTTAACTGTTAAATGAAGGGCTGTGTATGTATCTGTGGATTCCTGTCATACAGCTGCAAGTGAAAAATGAACTGATTTAGGGCCACACAAGCATCCTTTCCCAACTTCCTTGTATCTTCTCTTCCAGAGAGGAACTTTACAGTAGGACTCTGGCTGGCAGCATCACAACACCTCCACTGCTAATTGTATTTTACAAGCAACATTCCAGTATTGACCCCATGTGGAATGTCCGGCACCTCGGTATGTATGAAACATTTGTGACACTGATCCCCCAGTGTGTTTTTCCAGGTCTGTGGCTGGACACCTAGTTGATGATGCAGCAAAAAGATCTTTTCTTCCCCTATTTTATACCTTGTTCTTTAAGAAACACTGCTTTGCAATACCACCTTGGGGCTTGTGGGCCTGATCCTTCATGTTCTTTTTTGAACTGCCGGGGGATAGTTCTTTAATTGACTTACGCTCAAATTACTTCTCATTTTCCTTTTCTTTTTCCACATATATATCGTATCTGAAGTGATCCTAGGTGTTTCCTCCAAGATTGTTGAGAGGAATGCCTATTTGTATCTCTTCTCCTACTGGTGAAACCCAAATGCTGGGAGAGTGTTCTTCGGTTTTGTTTCCAATGAACAATACATAGGCTGCTGAATACATCTGGCTATTAAGGGGGTTTTATAGAACTTGAAAGTTAAGGCAATACATTGAAATAGGTACTGAGACAGATCAAAGTGTCATTCACTTGCACCTGATTATGTTTTCCACTTTGTTCTGATTTCTGCCTCACAAATCACCTCCTTTCTCCATAAATGACAAGATTTCCTTTGTTAAAATCCTTTTTTTTTTTTTTGAAGTTAAAATATTGCACGTTGGTGTTTCTGCTGCCTTTACTTCAGGCACTAATGCTTCTTTTCCAATAAAAGGGTCTAGTGCTGGAAAAAGGTACTCTCCTCAGTTTGTGAAAGCTGCCAAGCTCCTTCATTGGAATGGACATTTCAAACCATGGGGAAGAACAGCTTCATACCCTGAAGTCTGGGAGAAGTGGTATATCCCTGACCCTACAGGCAAGTTCAGCCTGATCCGCAGACATGCAGAAGCCTATGAAGCAAAGTAGAGTCGGTTTTAATAACTGATGGCATTTTCTCAGGAAACTTCTGGAGCCAAGCAGAACTTTGGTTAGGCAACTTGTATTACAGAGCAGTCCTTGCCTTCTGGAGCACAAGGTGATGCACTTATTCAGGTGCAGTTCTGAAGTGCACAAGTCCAAAGGAGACTCACTTCACTTGTGTGACAGAAGATGCTACTCCAGCAGCATGATAGTAAGCAAGGAAGGATCTCCACAAACTAGCACTTTTGTTAGTTCATTTCTGTCTTGTGTGTCCTGCTCTTTACTACAAGTCTTTTAGAGGAGGATCATTTTGTCACTTACAGAACAAAACGTTTTCTAAGAACATAGAACTTCAGCTGGTGCTTTCACCGTGCGAATCTTGCGCAGTGATGTACTGTAATTAAGAGCTGCTTGGGTTTTGTTCTGGTGGTTTTGGTTGTTTCTTACCCTGTGAAAGTTTCAACAGTCCTTTCCTGCATGGAATCTCCTCCCAACCATTTCTGTGTAAGTCTTTCGTGCGCAATTCTGCAAAATTGAATCTTGGTTTTTTTGAAGGGTGACTTTTTCAAGTATTACTTCACTATGCAAAGTGGTTTTAACTGCCAGTGGACACTAAAACATTTTTTTTGTAAAGTGATGGAGAAAACCTTGTTGAAAAATAAAAGCAAATTTTAACATGCTGACTCAAGCCTCAGGTAAATGGCAATCCGATTCTAGTCTTGATCTGATAGATGAAGTGTGTTTCCTTTGTACTTAAATACAGTAACAAGTAATTGAAACTAAAGTCAGTTGATCTCATCTTTGCAAATTGTACAAAATGCTTATTTTTGGGATTAGGCTGGCTGTATGAATTACAGATTAATTTTGTTATTGTTAAGTTCCTCATAGTTCTCTCAAGTGAGCATGGCTCTGCTGTAAAAGTTTTTCCCACGATGCCTTTCCCAGTGTGGCCCTTTAAACTCATCAAGCAAGATTCCTGTGCCCTTTTGCAGCTGGCTGTCCATCGCCTTTTACATAGGTAAATTGTTTTCTTTTTTTATAGTTGTAGTGTTGAGTAATGGTTATTATTAGCTGATATATCCCAGGAGCTATTTCACCAACTATTCCATTTAATACAGGTTTGAACTCAAGTTGTCATTTTTATTACTACTGTGTGCGAACAGTCTTCAACATAAGATGTTTAGATAAAAGGCTTTGTGTTAATGCAGTAATGAGCTCAGTGTTGCGTGGTCTGAGATACAGGGCAGCACAGAACTAAAGGGCTTGTTCATGTGTATGAATACAGTTTTAGCACTGCTTTATAATTTAAAAGGATTTCCAACTGCTTGACTTGTGGCAGTTACTGCCTATAGTTCTGTTTCTGTCATGGATGCTGGTCTGTCCTTTGTTATCTATTGTTTCTTTTCCTGGGTTTTGATGAACAAGAACTATTCTTGTCCTTGAAGTGGTTAGGAGTAATGAAGTAAGTTCAATTACCAGACTTTGAAAGACTGTACTAGATCAGCTGAAACCAGCTTAATTCTGTTGACCAGGCTGTGTTTTAGCAGGCTTAAATCAACTCATGTGTCTGCGTGTCTCCACTTGATACTTTTCTAAGCTGCCTAGGAGGACTGTGCCTTAACATACATTTAGGGAAAATACAACTATCTGTTAAAGGAAAGAACACAGAAAGCAGACTTTTAAAGTTAATAGGAAAAAAAATAGGTGCATAGGAGGAAGATGCTTCATGTCAGGTGTTTATTCTAAATGCTTATTTCATTGAGCAGCTGCAGCGCTTCTTCGTAATTCTTTTGCTACCCCAGTTCTGCTATAGGCTGAGCACAGTAACAGGGCAACACTTTGCTTTACAGTTACCAGCTGTTACCATGTATACATTCAGGAAATACGTCTGTTGTTCAAGAGCACGGTAAGAACAGAAGCTTGTTCCCCAGTGAAGACAGATGACTAATATCATAATCTCAGTTACCTTTCCCAGTGCTTAAATACCTTATGTCTAGCTGAAATAAGTAGCATTTTCCACCCAACTGTTACATACGAAAATTGACAAGTTTTGCAAAAGTATACTGAAAACTTACTGACTTAAGTCATGCTCTAGAGGTATAGTCTCTGTAATCCTCTAAGAAAAACAATTAAGTTTTATGGAGGCAGGATGAAAACTTAAATTGAAATTAAATTGCTTGACCATAACTGAAATTAAACATTTACCATTGTTTTTTAAAGAAAAGGGGTTTATCCTTTTGAAACATCATTTTATAAGGCAAAGTGAACAGACTCGGTCTATTAAGAATTTTTTAAAATAGGCTTTTTTTAAGTACAGGAAATGAAGTTTAGGACTTAAAGCTGAATAGTCAGTTTCCTAGACTTGTATGAAATCTGTAATGATCAAGAGAGATGCAGTATTATATACATTATTTGACACAGTAATAATTGTGAATCTTTGCGGTAGCTCTGGTATGCAGCATTCCTCCAGCTTTTGCCACAAAACAAGCCTTCAGGGCTGTTCTGAAAGGCAGTAATAAGTCTTCAAATGGTGTCTTCACACATAATTCATTACACATAGTCTGTATTAAAATCATAGGCATCATCTTCATCTGCTGTCTTATCCAAGCTGAGTGATAGTGAATTGGAATGTTCGCTTTCTGAGAAAAGGAAACGATGTGTTAGTGAAACCAATGCAAGTGCTAGAGTACTAGAGACTATCCTTCAAGCCAGGGTTTTTCATACAGACCTGGTATCTGCTTTTCTGAATTTCCAGGACTTGTTTGTCGTTTTCCAAGCTTTGCTTTCCTGGTGACCTGAACTTTGCTTTCCTACAAGTCAGAGAGATCAGATATATGTGTTTATTCCGACATCAGTAATGAAGTCTGTCATGCAAATGAAACCTAACAGAGACTGACCATAGTGTGGATGTCCCCTTGCCTAGTTGGTCTGGAACACACTGCCTTAGAATGTTAGAATGTCGTTTCCTTAATTTTGCAAAAAGCCCAACCCTTATCTCCAGGAGATTACTTTGATTTTTGATGAAGCTTTTTGATTACTCCTGGTCACTGCGTGTTCTGTTTACAGCAGGATACTGACTGGGTACAGGTAGAAGAAGCCTAATTAAACATTGATTTACCTCTTTGACATCCATTTCTACCTCCATATCGTCTTCATCATGATCATCATCATCACTTTCTGTGAAATCCTCCTCTTCTTCCTCCCCCTCCTTGCTTGTTTCCAAGTTTTCCCACTCTGATGCATCCTCTATCACTTTGTTTTCCTCTATTGTCCCATCTGTCATACCAGCTGACTGGAAAATTATGCTGCTTGCTGGACTGGGGTATTTTAAAGCTGGGAAAAACATAGGAAGTGTTTGTGAAGTCACTGCGTTAGCACCAGATGCAATGCCATTTTAGGTCAGGGCTAGAAAAAGACAGTTCTGCTCCCCCCTCTTCCACAATAACTCCCACATAAGCAGGTAGAACAAAGGACAATTCTCTGAGAATAGCTTTTTCTGAGGCATCTACACAAGACTGCTGGGAGCTGAAAGACTTGGATTTGAGTATAGGTTTTACTGAGTAAAATGTATTTTGTTAATTAGCCAGTGTTTATGTCCTCTTCAATATTCCTTCCCCGTTTCCTATTTAGGAGGGTTAGGTCAGAAAAGCAGAAACTAAGAACTAGCAGGGGTAATTTGTGTTAAGAGAGCACACAGATGCACTGTTCTGTTGCATCAGAATCTATTTCTTTCTTAAAAGGTTCATATTCACTGCATATTGGCAAAGCTATCCTATAAACTCCAGGACAACTTCCATTTAAGATGTCCCATTAAAACTACTATTAGCACTCTTAATGGTAGCAGTGTGTTACAGTAACAGTCCTACCTTGAACAGTGTTGTTGTTTTCTTCTTCTAGGTTCTTTAAATTAAAGCACTCCTGCATTTTAGCTATTTTATCTTCTGTAAGATACGGTGGCGGTCTCGGAGATCCTGGAGGTTGTGAGTAGTACCTTACTTTAGCTCTGAGAAAATAAAATAATCAGCATTAAAAAACAACCAAAGATAACATACTTAAATCACTGTATTTAAAAATAAAACCCAGAGCATAAACCTCTCAAACTCCTCAACCTAACTACTCATTTACTATCATCTGTTTAACAGCAGTTAAATAGCTATTTAGATTTGACTCTGCAGTTGTCAATAACAGTATTAAGTGTATAGCCCACTCCTGAAAGGAAAAAGAAATGGCATGCTTTGTCACCACAAATCATCTGCCTGTAAAATCACGAGCTGTAAAAGCAGCTGAACCACTTGAGCAAGGGAAATAGTCACTCAGCTACTGAGTTACAGTTATTCCCACCCTCAGAATATAGGAACTGCTGTAAATTTCCACAGAAAATTTGCCATATCCTCTCCTGTCCATAAGAGGATGACATGGACTCAGTATTTGAAAGGAAGGCAAATTCCCTTAACAGAGTTATACCAGAAGTCAGCAAACTGGCTAGAGAGTAATGCACAACATGCTTTGAATCTGTCTATGTATCCTTCACTGCTTTAGAAAATTATCCACGGATGGCATTCTCTAAATCTGATAGTCAGTCCAGCTTGTTACTAAAGTAAAACGCGAGAAAGAAAATAAAAGGACGGCGGGGGGGTAAAGCAGCCTTTCCTTTTGAAGTACTTCTCAGGACTCAGAGCTTCTGCTGTGCTGGATTAACAATGTGAAAAAGGTGAGCAGCATAAAGCAAAACTCATAGCATACGTACCCTGTCCAGTCACAAAGTAGTGTTTTAGCTATATTCTCTATGTCAGGAACACCTCCCTTTTTCAGCATACCCCTCTTCTGAGCAAGCAAAGTTAAAAACTCCTCAGTGTTCCTGAAATCTGGGATGCTATAGTGCATCACTACCTAGTGCAAAAGAAAATGGTGCATTCAGAACTTTTCTTAGTTTTAGGAATGAAAAAACAAATCAAATCGGGTTATAATGAGGATGAACAAGTATGTGAAGAGCTGGTTTTCTCTTCCCTGTGGGAGTAAAGATTACAAAGCAAAATGCCTACTTCAACAACAAATTCATCTGCTATTCACCCATACTAGTGGATGTATGGAGACATAACTTTTTTCACAAACCAGTGTGCTCACAGAACTGAATGGGAATTAGACTTAGGTTAATCTACTTGAAACTCGAGTGAAATCAGAGTTGGATCTGAGGTCTTCACTGTAATAATAGGAAGCAGTCAGAATATCTTCATTTTTCACTCTGTGATACTGTGATGAGATCTTAAAAGCCGGGTTTTTTAAAAATCAGAGAAGTTATTGGTAAAACACTCTGGCTGACAGGATCATGGCATGCCGTTTCTTCCTCCCATTTATAAGGGTGAAAGACCACACTTAAGTGTTGGATATACTAGCCAAAGTTTGCCACTCTCTATGGTCAGGAGAAAGCAGTGCAAAAGCTACCAGAATTAGTTAAAGTGAAATGAACTTTTGTTATTGGCCTAAGAAACCTACAGAGAAGTCAAATGCAGTGAGAGGTGTAGAGAAAGATAGAGCTCACCTGCTGTTTACTACAGTGATTTAGAATGGCATCTACTCCTTCAAGCATAGCTGCTGAGCCTGGTTCTTCGGTGTCTATGATACTTCTCAAGGCCAGAGCCAGGGCACTGTTGGAAGGATCTGCAATTATACTTGGACTGTCCAACATCTTTGTCTGTTTATCAATGTGCACAATTTGCATGGACCTATTCAGAAAGAAATGCACTGTGAGTACATAAAGGTAATCAACTAGCAAAGGACTGGTAAAGGTGAGGGATGCAAGACACAAAGCTCAGTGTTGGACTGAATGCACTTCATACAGAGTCAGTTCCAGTGTTTTCTCATCATATGCTTTGCGTAGGACAGAAATCTAAATGTACAAAAAACTATTCTCTCATGACAGCTTGCCTCACAAAGACCAGTATCTTTCATCCTGGCAAACTGAAATGTGCATTTAAAACTGCACACAGGGGCATACTTTGCCCTTAATGGATGGAAATTGTACACAAACAAGGTAATCAGAACACAACAACAAACAGGGAAATAAACAACTTTTATCAGACTTGGCTTACTTGGTAACACCTCTTGTTAGGCCAACATTGCAAGCACGAACTCCTTTAAGACTGTTGATTATGCTGCTCTTTCCCACATTAGGGAACCCTGGAGAAAACCAGATAAATCCTTGTAAGTTAAATAAGAGAACTCAGCCAATGTAACACTGATCAAAACTGCTTCTTCCAGGTGTCTTTGTTAAAGTACATCTTCAGCGTGAGATCAGAGTTGGATCTGAAGTCTTCACTACAGAAGTAAGACAAAGTCTGTATCCTCATTTCTCACACTGACAATAGCAGAGACACGAAACAGAGTACAAAACTTATCGAGTAGGAGGAAGGCAGTGCAACCAAGCCGTGTGGTTTGTAAACTGCTTCTCTTGTTTCTCTAAGCTGCTGAACCAGCTAAGGCCTCACACAATGTGCCTTCCACAGACCACATACACTTCATGTGTGTAAGCACAACACAGATCGCAGCCAACTGAAGCACTACAATAATGAGTCTTAGCTCAAAGTAAGAGCAATGTCTATCTACAAAGCCCAAAAGCAAGTCAAGTGTTAGTTGTTTTACCCCATTTGTAATACAGAATACCAAAGCTTTATGGGAGAAGGTGGCAACTCCTCCTGTCTTTCCAAATGCTTACCTACTACCCCAACCTGAATGGTTTTGTTTTGAGTCCTGCCATAGTCTTGAAGAAGTTTCAAAAGGCATTTGCTTCCAAAACGCTCAGTGGTGCTTGATAAATCAACACGTGCACGTCTTTTTGTGAACTGTTCCTGCTACAGGATTCAAAAGCAAAAAAACCCCATGGTCAGGAGCTATTTAGGAAGATAAACATGTATGCTTAGATTTATTTATCTACTGTAATGTTTCCAACTCCTATCCTCTATTAGATGATATTACTGTGTTCTTCTGAACAGAAGGAGTTAGTTTAATAAGAAATTGGCTAATCAGTGAACAGTAAAAAAAGGTAGCCATCAACTACTATGAGAAAAAGGAATGTGAACTGACTAATAAGGCTTATGATTTCAGTTCAGCTGCGTTGCAGATCTGTTGTGTGACCATAAAATAACCATGTACATTCAGATGATAGAATCCTTAAATCTGCAAATTCACTCAAGAGGCTTCAGTTTTATAAGGATTTCAAAACCTGCTCTCTGCATTGCAGTTTCTACACCATTGTGCAGGAGAGTTTATTTCACTATGCTGTTAACAGGGTTAAGTCGTGTGAAGCATTATGTATTAATACACGTATGACTCAAACGAGGATCTTCAAAGAGCTGAGACTAGAATGCGGGGAACTAACCCCTTTATACTCTTCATGAAATAATGTCAGGTTCTACCTTTAGTAATGGCCACAGTTAGGATGAATGCAGTAGTATAGTCTGCACCACTTTACCTACAAAACAATTCAGACGTAACTGGTGCATCCATCCTATGAAGAAGATGTAAAATTCCTCACCTTCCTCCCCTCACTGTCCTTTTTACAGTAAAGGACAGACTTGCTTTTACTCTAGTCCAGCATCCTGGGCACAAATAACAATACATATTTCAACAGCAAGAATTCCCCCACAGTACCACAAAGCTTAGTCAAAATGCAAAGTCATATCCTTCAGTCACAACAGTACAATCAAACAAGGAGAAAAGGAATTTTAGAGAACAAGAGTTCCTGTCTCAACATGTATGATTGCAAACACACATGACTTAGCCATAAGACAGCCTGCAGTGCACTTACCATAGTCCTGTCCTTCATCAGCGTTGCCGATTTAAAAGCAACTGTTGGAAACTCTTTCTTCAAATAATTCAACCATTTCTGCAAGTTTTCCTTTGGCACTAAATCTGGAAAAAAAGAGCACAGTCCTTTCACTCCCGTTAATCTTAAATATCACTGTGTGGAGGAAATCTAATGTGGAATCGGGAACCAGGCTGTATTTTGTCTATTTAGTATGTTTCTTTATAACAAAGAATGTTTGGCTGTAAACTCTGGTAGAGTACTGGGTATGTACCCCACAGGCACCAAGAGTTGCAAGTTTTAGTCTTTATTTTCTGCCTCAAGCAGAACATACCATAATTACATTTTTGGTTCCTGTATCAGATTTTTAATGGTGTGGTGTTGCTAGCAGACTTTGTATGGTAGAGAGAGATGTTCTGTGAAGGATTATCCCATCATCCCTGCAAAGACTACTCTAATACAAAGTTCCCTTTACTCTTGTTGTCACTTTTGGTGTTTCCTTTTCATTTTTTGGTGCTGCTAACCCAGTAATTTCCAGTCTTTTTAGATGGTTTCACCTACTTTGTGTGTGCATCCTTGAATACAGCAATGGAAGAGAGAAAATACTTCCCAAAGCCAACTTTCAAATACAACTATTGCATTGATTTGTTGATTTTTAACTCACCATTGCCTCAGTGGGGACCAGCACTCTAACCTCTGTGTACTCACATTCACAAAAATGTTAAAAATTGTAAGATGTTTAACTTCTGTCAAATTTGGCTGAAACTGGCCAATGCCCTCAGAAGTAACTGCAAAAGAAAGGGGCTAATGTGCATTTACCTGTCTGTGGTGTTCTCTTAGAAAACTAGACTAAAAGGTGGAGGAAATATGACCCCTTCATAGGGCAGTGAGCTCAGAGTTGGATCTTATGTCTTCAATGGAATCTCAGATTCCTTTAAAATCTTCTTCATAGCTCACAGAACCACACAGTAACCAAGTAACACTTCAAGAAAACCTGTGCTTCTTACCAATTTTGTTCAGAACCAACAGTAGCTTTTTGTCTCCTCCAGAGCAAGTTACAGCTTGCTCCAGTTGAGGACACCGGCAGCCCATTGGATCTCTTGCATCCAAAACCTCTAGAACCACGTCTGAGGCATCAATCACCTGGGTTAGAAAAAAGAGAGAAGACTCTCAAATAAGACATGACAGACCATTTTATAGATAACAACTCTGGAACAGTTGTGGCTTACACAGTTTCTGGCATAAAATCCCTTACTTCAGTGTTGAAGTTTATCACAAGCGACAATACTCTCCCAATACTCTCTAGCAGCTGCACAGTAATACAAAAAAGGAAAATAACAAGTGGTCTCATTGCTGGCTCTCATCAAATTATATAAAAATAGTTGAAGTGTCTCACCTTCTTAAGCTCCCTGCAAAATGATTTCTTTGAATTTTTATCCAGCAGTTTGTTAGTCTTTGCTTTAGATTTGCCAGAGGATTCCTGGATGCGAATAAAAATGAAAGGGAATGACTTAACTGAGAATTAGTGTATTACACTTGCGTGCATATACAGCATGAAAATGTAACATGTAACATACTGCTTAAGAAGATGTAGTTTCAGAATGACTTTTATTGCTTCTATAAACTTCAAAGAAACAAAATCATGCCAGACACCTACTTTTCCCTCTGTTTTTTCCTTGATTTTGGCTGCATTCTTTTTAGCTTCAAGCTTCCTCTTCTTTTCATGTTCTTTCTGTCTGTTAAGCTTCTGTTTTTGTTTTAGTTCTTCAAGCTGATTGCAAACAAAAAACCAAGCCAGATAAAACACATTTGAAGGTGGTAAGGAAGGCTGTTCTTTTTTCTTATTTACTTATTTATGACCAAAGCTTAGTTAGAAGTCATGGCTGTCCAAATGACATTAGGAACTTTACATCCTGCCCTAAAAAGAATACCATTGCCTTCAATTGCCTCAAAACCAGAGGCAATACATCCATTAGCTAGACCCCAAAAGAGCAGCTGTGCAGCAACCCCAATACAACTGATAAAGGTGTTGCTCTTACGTTACATTCCTCCACACTGTGGACCGCAGATCTTTATTTTCTGTATAATCACATAACAGCAAGATGCTTTTAGCATTCTGATGAGACGTCTATGTATCTTAGCATCACAGGCAACTCTGATTACATTAGAAATGATACTTCCAGCATGTTTATACACACAGTGATGAAATGAAGGTTAAAAATAAAAGAGTGTGTTGTTACACAGTGTATAATGCTGGAAATAAATATACTATTTTTCCAAAGTACATGTCTACTAGGACCATTTATAATCTGCCATGATTGTGCCTCTGGGCATGCACACGTGCACACAAGGCTGCCTTGAAAGTAGCAATGATCTCAGTTCTTGTCCTCTTTACCAAAAATGGTATTTTACCTTCTGCTTTCTTTGCTCTGCTTCCCGTAGAAGCTCTGCCTTAAATGGTGCGGCACTGGGAACACCGGGATCTTTCTTAGGCTTTTTGTGTCCACGTTTTTTGGCCTCCTTCCTGACTTTTCGGTGGTGTTCTCTGATCTGAAGACAGGAACAAGAATATTTTCTCAGTCTAAGGCCAAAAAAAAGGAATGCATCCCTCCTAATTACAGATACAGAGTAAAAAATGGTACATTTCTGACTTTAGATTGAAGTGTTTCAATTACGTAATGTCTCATTGCAAAGCTACACTTTAACATACCAGCCCAAAATAATGCAAAATGCAATGACATAAAAAAAACCTACGCTCCTTTCTACATCATCTTTCAGCCTATGGTGACTGGAAAGCAAATTCCTCGCTACAGTCCAGACTCCTTAACATTCGATATAACACGCTTATTGTGTACGTGTATATGCACAACATGTTTCTGTAATAATATATAACAAATGGTTTTAGTGTTAAACTAGCTAGCACGGAGCTTTAATTAGAAACAGCCACCCCCGCTTGGAGGGGCAGAGGCAGCCCGGGGCCGGCAGCCCGCCGGGACTCACCTTCTTCTGGATCTTGTAGCGCTTGTGGCAGGTCAGCCTCTTGCTGGCCTTCTTCAGCTCTGCAAGGCACCGCGCCCGTCACCGCCGGCTCCTCGCCGCCCCCCCGGGACACC